AGCAGTTGGACAGCAAGGTGGACAACTGGAATCTCTGTGACAACCCTTGCAGAATTTCTGGACAGCAGTAGAGCAGGTTTTGGAGGCGAGTTTGATGTGGATGGCGGGTGGAGAGAGGGGAGAGGGGAAGGGAGGGAATGAGGAATTAATTCCTTTGAATGGAGTTCAGATTTGGACAGAAAATAAATGGGGGAGAAGGCATGGGGCCGGCAGCTTCAAGAGGAGGGGAGGGGATAGGTGAAAGGTCTTTAGTGTTTGCTTCTTTGGGAACTCCAAATTAGGGAGGGGAAATTAATTTCAATCCAATTCAAATTTGATTTGGATTTGATTGGGGAAGTTTCCTAAAATAGAACTTTATTTTAGAAAATAATTCGAATTTCAAATTTTGATTGGTTGATTGGATTAAAAGCTTTCCCAAAATGATTTGTTGGGAAAAGGAAAGAAGTAATGGAAAGATTTGAATTTTGGAGGGAAGAGGGAGATGGGGTGGCCGGCGGCTAGGCTAGTATTAGGGTTAGGGTTTGTGGGTTTAATGGTTTGGTGGTGGGAGAGGGAAGGCCGGTTGGGTGTGAAGGGGAGGTGGATTGATTTGATGGGGTGGCCGGCATCAAGAGGGGGGGGGATTTGCTAGGGAGGACCAATGGCTAAAGGGTTAGGAAGCCCTACGCCGGAGGCTAGGAGGAAGGGGAAGGGAGAAAACGAAGCGAAAAGGTAGAAAGAAAATGAAAGCCACAAACTCGGATGCTTCCAAGGTTGGGGGGTGATTCGTTTCCTCTCCAAGGGCTCTCTCCAAAGCTCTCAAGCTCTCAAAACAAAGAGTTGCAGGAATTTTTTTAATTATCATTCATTAACCCTTAAAGAAGTAGGAGGAGGCTTTAAATAGCCCATACAATGAGAAAATACGAAGTACTACTATGCCCCTAGGGCTTACACATACTTAAACCCTTAAGTAAGGGCAAAAGTAGAAAAGTATAATAAAACATCATAAACAAAACTAATACATCAATAATAAATATGAAAATCAAAAGTAGAGCGGTGCAATTGTGGCCGTAGATCGACAACCACGCCTCTGATAAACTTTCCATGTCATGATGTCTTCACACCAGAGCTTATACCCGTTAGCTTCGCAGACCATTGAAACTTCTTCGATGCATTAATTAGATCCTTATGCATTTTCTTTTATGGGAGGTTTGTTGTGATGATAGTTTGTATTTTGTTTCTAATGTGTCAATAAATCTTTTTGAGTTATTGGGTTGTCAGGCTGTTGGGTCTTTGGATTTTTCCATGTGCTTTTCTCATTGTTGGTTGGTCATCTCTCCCTTTTTATTTAAATCAACTAACATTTCTTTTTCCATAAATTAGAAAATCTTTGCCATCATAATTCAGAAATACCTCCATTTTCAAGTTTGAAACACTTCCCTTACATTAAATGTGATGCGGACATCGGCATGAAGATTTGGCGCATCTATCACAGGAGGCGTCGTAAATCGACGGCTCTATTTTAAATTGTCATTTATGAGTTATTTTATGAATTTTAGTTCTTATTTTATGTTATTTCCTGTTTTACCCCTAGGTTAGTTTATTTGAGTGTTGTGGCCCAAGGGGCAATTTTGTAATTTTTATTTTATCATGTTATGGTATATATATAGGACCTTAAGCTATTGTAAAAGGGATGAATGATTGATATGAAAAAAATTGTTTTCCACACTTGTGTTCTTCTTGTGAGAGAGGGTTAGTGAGATTCCTCTCAAGTCTTCACCAGCCGCAGGATGGGTCCGGGCTCGTGATTGGAAGTCCCTGGGAGAAGGGCAAAAGAATCACCCGTCAGTCTTCGGAAGAGTCCGAGGCTCGCGGTTTTTATTTTTTCTCTTTCGTTTTTATCTTCGATCTCCTATTTTGTTTTTGTTTTCTTCCTTCTTATCGCTCCCCGTTGCCATTTTCATATTCTTCCTCCTCCCTCAACCTCACGGACCAAGCTCCTTACCGAGCTCTCCAAAAGCCACCGCCCACCTCACCCATCATGCCGCCGGCTCCACCTCATTAGCCGCCGGCCGAACCTTCCTCTCCACCCCCTTTTGGATTTCCTAATTTGGTTGGGTTAATTTAGAGATTAATTTGAATTTGAAATTATTCAAATTCAAATTTCAAATTCTTTCCTAATTTGGTTCATCTATTTTAGGAAAGTACTTAATTTAAATCAATTTGAATTTTAAATTCAAATTGGATTTATGTCATTACTTTCCTAATTCATTAAACCAAATTATGAAGCCTTGAATACTCTCTTTAAATCCCTTCCCCTCATCTTGCCGCCGGCCCCCTTGGTGGTCCCCTCTCCTTTAATGTTTCATTAAGGGATTTGATTGCATGCTATTTGAAATTCAAATTCAAAATTCAAATTGGCATTAGAAATTAAATGCCATGAATTCCTTCTTAATTTAAATTCATTTGAATTCTAAATTCAATTGAATTTTAAATTCAAATCTAGAGCATTTAAACCACCTCATTACTCCCACCTTAGTTTAATTCCTATTCTAATCCCCCAAATCAATTCACTGATTTTGGAGAATTTAAAATCCATTAAATTCCCTATTCCATACACAGCCGGCCCCCCTTCTAAAGAAAAGAATTGGAGTTTATTTTCCTCTCATTCATTAGCTCTAGCTCTTTGGGAAAGAATTCCCAAATCTGAGAATTCCCGAAATCTCAGGGAATTAAAGCACCATTTAATTCCCTAGTCCCCCACGTGAAGATCTGGAATTAGAATTGGAGTTATTTCCTTAAGCTAATTTCCAAATCTCTGAGATTAGGATTTAGGATTTAATTCCTAATTCCCTCTCAGCTCACCGCATCCCCCTTATTTGATTTCCTCCAAACCTGTCCACGGGACAGTGCACATCTTTGGAAAGGATTGGAATGCCAACCTGCTGTTGGCTGAAACATTCAAAGCCTCTTGGGTTACTTCTCTCCCCACGCTGCCTTCCTCTTTTCCTAAAATTCCTGCTAGTTGTTCCCTCAGTCCAGCAAGAGCATCTTGCTGTCCTGTATCCCTGAGGATCACAGGTTGCCGTCCAAAGTTTTCCAGCATCATAAAGAAGCTGCCCAAGGCTTTTCTAAGCAATATAGGTTGCTGTCCAGAACAGATTTCTGCATTCCGGACAGATTCTACATGCTGTCCTGAAGTTTATACACAATAAACTGCTGTCCTGCATATCCAGAATCGACTTCCTGCTGTCCTGAGCATTCCCAGCCTCCTTACAATTGTTGTCCAAGTTTCTAGCCATCTACTAGGCTTGCTGTCAGATTTTTTTTGGAGAGGAGATCCTTTCCTTAGCAACGCCTCCTTCCCGTTCTACATTAAAATGCTTACCCTTTTTCCTTTTATCTTTCTTTGAAAATGAAGCACCACTTGATGAGCTTTTATTTCTCTTCCTTCCCATCAATTGGTTGGCTACTTCTTTTTAGATTAAATATTGGAAAGTCCAGATGTTTTTTTAGAGTTTATAAAAGGGAATTTATATGTAATTTTAGGGGGGTACAAATTTGAATAGGATAATTCTCTTGGTTTATGATTACTTGTCCTTCGTATTTTGGTTCCTCCCATAGGTGATTTGAAGCCAATTAATTTTCTAATCGTAGGTTTGAATCTCCTGGTATTTTATCCAATATTTTGTTTATTCATGTAACTTTATTTTCCTTAGCTATTGTTGCTAGCAACCTATTTTGCTAATCTCAAACTACATATTATTGTATTTGTGCTACCACATTGTTGCTACTAGTTAATCTCCATCCCATGTTTGTTGTGCTAGCTGTACACTCATGATGCTTGCTATTTTATTTAATTTCAGCTTTCTTCTAGCTACGACGATTTTTGTTATTGTTTTGTTGTGTTGTGTTTGTTGAATCAAAAGATAGTTAAGTTAGACTATTGCTTGTTTAAATTTGAGTGTTATTCTAGCATTCTCTTGTTATTTTTATGGTTTTTGTGATTGTTGTAGTTTTCTTCCTTGGTTCTTAGAAGTTTGAATACCAAATCTTGTTTACGAGTAATTCATATTTGCGTGTAATTTAGCTTGGAGATATATTTATTTTAGCACTTGCATTCACATTCTTTGCTTTCATTTAGTTTTAACATATTTAGTATTAAGTCTCCTTAAGAAGCATTCATTTGATTTATTTTCCCACATGTCTTTCATCACATTCATCGCAAAATTTCATTCAATTATCATATACTTTATAAGCCCTTATGTCTTGCTTATTGGTAAAAGAATTGGTGATAATTAAAAAAAATAAATCCCTAAAGAGATAGACTCAAAACAAATTTAAATAGAAAAATCTCAAAATAGTCTCCGGACTATTCATGTCTGGCCAATTTTGTCCTAGAGTATCACATTACTCCAATTTAGTCCCTCGATAATACAAAATTGATAGAAAATGATCCCTCATAGTGTAATTGTGATGTAAAATTGACCTCAATTTATTTATTTGATTATACAAAATTGATCTCAATTTAATTATAAATTGGAGCAATTTTGTTTAGTTGAGAGACTAAATTGGAGCACCGTGATATTAATAAAATTTGAGCAACGTGATACTCTGAGACTAAATTGACAATATGTGAATAGTTGGAGGACTATTTTGAAGTTTGCCCCTAAATTTAAATTTAAATTATTCCCTAATGCATCAACTGATAAAATAAAGAAATGCTAGCAATCTTGCGGTCTAAGCCATCAAGTATGTTTTGATTGGACATTGTGAACAGGCATGAGTGGAAGTCGATTTGAAAAGCAGATCCTCAATTCTTGAGATAAGTCTAAAAATGACGATGTTGGCCTTTCATGTTAAGCAGGACCTAAGCTGATTATGCAAATACTATTCAATACCTTAGCCTCGCTGAAATCATCATTCGTTTTTTTAGACTGAATAATCTTACTAATTGTCCGTAACATTAACTTCCGCATTATGAAGCATGTATAACTTGGTCCACAATGTTTTTGTAACAGGGTTGGACTGGAAAAGGCAAAGAAAGAGTTAAAGGAAAGCATTCATAAGGGTGTTTCTTTCATTCGGAATGCATAAGAGAAATATAGTAAATAGGTATCTCCAATCAACATCGCAATGTACTCGATGTCATCTGTATTCTGCTTGTGTAATCTTCCACCCAGGACGATTATGGCAACTGTGTTACTTTGATTTAATTATATTTGGTTCTTATATGTTATAATTATATTGTTTCTGATAATCGCCATCTATGAGTATGTTAACATTGACTTTCTCAATCATAGAGCCTCATTCCTTTTTTTTTTTTTTTTGTCCTTCATTGTTGAATTGTAAATCAAGTTTCTGATGAGATTTCAGATAACATTTGTTATGTTGAGGAACCTAATTTACGCCTTGCATAGAACACAATCTACATAGTCAATAGACTTAATCATGAATTTTTTAGAGGATTTTATTGTATTTTTGGTCACCCCTTTTTTTTTTCCTTTATAAATAGGAGACATCATTTTTTATGTTGTATCAAAAATAAAACTCACAATCAAACCATAGTTAGATCTACAGAGGAGGTAATAGAAGTAGATATTAATCAGATGAACATGCATAAAATTATGTGTGTTTTTGTCATTAATTATCGTTTTTATTGTGTTTTTTTTTTTTTTTTTTTTTTTTTTTTTTTTTTTTTTTTTGCTATCTATATTTGAATCGGCTTCAGCTATTTTCTAACATTATGTTGATAGTTCAGAAGACTAAAGTTCTATAGCTGCTTTACATATTCCTAATTCTCTGCATATCGTTAGCTAAACCTATGTTTTGCCAAGATGATTTCTTTTTTCCTTGATTACCATATAAGTGCACTGTGCTTTTCACTCCTGTTTCTGTGGGAGCAAGAAGTCAAGCGTGTAATCTATGTCGCAGCAAGCAGGGTCGCTAGCTCTTCCCACTTCCGCATTCTTCTAAGGTTCGTGCTTCCTTGTATTTAGTAGAATTAACACAAAGGCAATACTGGAAGTCTGGAACAGTGACTTGGTATTTATCAAAATAGAGCAATTAAACTTTTTAATATTTAGTCTATATGGTTGTAATGCCTATAATAATGAGTATTCTTCCCGTTTTAATATTTTATTCACTATATTAAGCTGGGCCAGATCAAAGGCCACAGCACGGACTGAATTTTTTTAATGCATGGAGCAGAATGTCTTCATCTTCAAATAGTAAGAGCAAACGATGATGAAACCGTCTTTGATTTCTGCTTCTGAAGCAATTTACTTATTAATCCTTGCAAGTAAATTGTCTGTTTTTTTTTTTTCCTTATGGAGATCATCATCACCATCCTCTGCCTTTGCCTTGTCACAATAATTTGGGGTTGGCTTTGTGAATGCATATTTTTCATTTGTTTCTAATGAGTGCTTTCTGAGATATTAAATCTGTTCTTCATAAATTATTAAGAAAAATTTCTATACATGTTTCCTTTAGGCCTATCATTATTCTTCTTAATACCAAGGTTTAAAATTACGCGATTGGGTATCGAGGCATTTTCCATCCGTAAGGCAGATGAAAGTGAATGTTAAAAGTATATTTTTTTTATAATAACTAAATAATATGTTAAATGATGACTCATTAATTTTTTATTGAACTATGAAATAACACATTGATATATAACAAAAGTTTGCACAAGACGTAAAATGACAAGTGATAAATTGCATTAAATAGAATTAAAATAAAAGCATCACAATAGTTTAAACAACATAAAACTATAGGAATTGTATTGAAATATCATATAATATCAAGTCATTAAGTTCAACTCGAAATTCCTTATTTCTCAGTTCTATACTCATGCACATTTCATTTCTAAAGAAACCAATAATAGTATGACATAAACTCAGCAGTCATATGTGCTACAGTAGTGGTTGCTATAGCTGCAATGGAAAGCAGGTAGCCGGCTGGAAGTGCAAGTTGGAGCTCGCGGGTTGTAGGTCTCTGTGAAACTGATGCATATGACTCAAATTGAATGCCCTAGTCATGTGCCTCGAGGTGTTTTGCATGTGAATTGCGTTGAGGCTTGCCTTGTATTGCCCAATTTTATCTACTTATCTAATAGGTGCATTTTATACCTTTTTTTGTATATGTCCAATCACCTAAATTTATGCCTACCTTTAATTTATTTTTTCTGGTTTTATCTCACATTTGTCTTAACATTCACATTTTTGCCATCCTTAGCTATCAATGATACTCTTACTAGCCAACTCTCATATTCATACAATATAATCGGCTTAATTACAATTATATAGGCATTAATATATCTTTTGATAATATTGATTAGTAATTTTTTGTGTCACATCTAAAATTGTATATCATATATTTGGGCTTTATTTAGCTAATTCTAAGCCCTTTAACTTCTATAAAGTTTTCTTATTATTCTAGCCTTCAACTTATTCCAACGATTGTCTCGTGGATTAGAATCTATATTAAATTATATGAATTAAATGTTAATCTTTAGTATAATCTTACAAAATAATATTATGGAGGTATAAAAATAGACTTTTTTTTTTACTATAATTAGATTGTTATGTGTTGACCCCTACACTCAATATGCACAAAAGAAAGGCAAAATCGACGATTTAAGTGACGAGCGCATCGGTGGGCACATCACTTAAATTTGGGTGCCTCAGTGCCCCCAAATTCCATTTTCGGGGCTCGCGGCGCGTTAGGGGACCACCCTACACGCTCTCATAGCATGGTGGGAGGAAACCCGGTGCGACACTCGCAACTAGACGAGTAGGCCCTGTATATGCTTTTCTCTAACGTGGTGGAGGCAACTTTAAGTGCCCTTGAATGTGCCTTAGTGCCTGTAGGGAAAATTACATCTTTCAAACGAGTACCCATGAAGACCCATACACGCATTTCTCTTGCGTGGTAATTTTAAAGATCACAGTCGCGGTGTCGTTTGAAACCTACCGTAAACGCTTTTCTCTAGCGTGGCTGGAAGGGCCCAGATCCCAAATTTTTCCTAAACATGGGAGACGCTCGGAGGCTGCCTAATTTTTCAGTGAACATGGGACTTAAATGAACAATAGGGGATTAAACTTGCAGATTATTGAACCACAGGGAACTTGACTCGAACAAATTTATAGGGAATTGAACATCAAATTAGAGAAAAAAAAATGCAAAATAATATTAAAATATAAATGCTAATTAGGCAATTAGCGGTCCCGATCATTCAAATGAAAGTCAATGAATAAACAGACCCATGATGGACAAGTTCCAGGCATAATGAACTTGCAAGCAACACCAGTCAAATGCAAATGAAACAAAATAAAATTTGTAATAAACATCAACGAGCAAATAGAAGACTCAGTGCATGCAAAGAACAATGAACACACAAATGGGAGGCAAGATGAATGCAATGAATGTCATGGTGTGTTCATGAATGGAATGTAGGTGGACAACAAATGCAGCACCTGTTGTCAATGCCAGTGGACAATCAAGCACATTAAATCCTACGAGCAGCAGAAGGATTTCACATGCAATGAATACGATGATATTCCTACAATCAATGTCAATCTACCAGCAAATGAATTCAACAATTCCCTGTTAATAAAAACAGTCAACATGCGACGAGTATGACAAGTTCTTCGCACAAACATGGCACGTTGTGTAATATCTAGTCTGTGTGAATTAATTATTTGGAAGATTCAGTTCCGAACCAAATTCCAAAGCTAGATCCTGGTTAGTGCAGCTCCGTCGCGATCCAGCGCGGGCGGGATCCGTCTCGTCTCGGGTCGGGTCGTGACACGTTGTCTATGAAGAAAGGCGATAAACTTGTAATTCATGTAAATCATAACAACTAGCAGTGATGATGAATAAGATGTGAATGTAGTAGTCTCTCTATGTTCAACATCTGCATGCTTCTCAATATCAATCAATAGGCAAATGAATACACTAACCTGCTCGTGAACGACGACAATGGATGAGCTGTGAGTATAACAGTTTCAATGGGCTTGCAGATACATGCATAAGTCTCCCATGAACACAAATATGGTATGCAAGTAGATGCAGCAACTTGCCAATCAATATGCACGGGGAAATCAATATCGAATGCAGCTCACCTCGTAGTCAATATTAGTGTGCAGATGAATATGCTAATTCATCTGTGGATAATAAAACTCCTTACAAACACTGACAAAGGGACGAGTACAATGAACGCAATCCACCGACAGTCAATATTGACATGTAGTTGAAATGCAAGCATTAACATGCTACACGAACAAATCCACCGTTGCAATGTATGGTGAATGCAACTCACCATGCAATCGATGTCAACATACAAATGAATATGTTAAGCCTCCTGCAAGAAGCAACAACAAATATGTCGCAAAGATGAGAGTTCTTTGTGAACAAATAGAAGTCGATATATGACAAATGCAACCCACGTAGCAATCAACATCAATTTGCAAATGAACACGTTAATCTGCTTGCAAGTGATGATAGTAAATATGCTGCAGGTATAATGGATCCCCTATGAACGTGGGCATGCAATATATCATTTACATGCAAAGACCAAAGATCACATCAAATGCAAAACCACGATAAATACAAACATCTACGAGCCACTATAGAAGACTCCTATGCACACACTATGCTATATACAAGTAAATGTAAAAGAACTGTGATAAATGCAAACACTCATAAGCAGTGATGATAAATGTGATGCAAGTATGGTGGATCCCCTGTGATTATAGATACATATACAACATACTATTTGCAGGCTAGCACAGCAAACCTATAGTGAATACGAGGTCATACGAGCCGTCATAAGAGATTTTTTTATATACACACAGCAACTAGCCTATGAGTTAAGCTGACAAGTTATGAATACTCACTGACAGCCTACAGGTAGATTTAACAAAGCTTACATGGCACGGTAACTCGCCTGTATGAAGCAACATGCGACCCGTAGCACAGCGCCACCACCTACCTACAAGCAGAATGTACGTTGAATGCAGTCCACTTGCATGCAATAACATACTACTTTTGAATGTCCACTAACGACATACTTCCCTGAACAAATTCAACAAAATTCATCAATGCAACAATTCACCTGTAAGCAACAATAGTGAATCACTAGTAAAAAACCGAGGGCCACTAGTAAGCTGAGGCAATAAATTTGCAGTATCAAGCTGTCACAGAAGATACCAGCGACAAAGAGGTTCTTGATGCACCGCACAGCTTGTTTGCCTGTTGAAATACACTCCCGTAGGCTGAATGCCGAAGAAAATAACATGTGAAAGATAAAAATAGAT